AGATCCTGTCTGTCACAGTTACTCAACCACTAAACGTGAAGGTCTTATAACAATAATGAGAGAGATTATAGCGAGAGCGGATAACGATAGATCACGACTGTTGATAGTCGGTGACTTCAACTTGAAATCCATAGACTGGGAAGCATATGAAGCTAAAACAGAAGATTTTTGGACCTGTAAATTTGTAGACCTCATCCTGGAAACATTCTTGTATCAACATGTTAAACAAGCTACGAGGATGAGGGAAGGGGACGTTCCCTCCATGCTAGATTTGATATTTACCAGGAAGGAGGAAGAGATATTTGACATTCAGTACCTTCCTCCCTTGGGTAAAAGTGACCATGTCTTTTTGGGAATAAAGTATGCAATGCGTTATAAGCTGGAAGAAAATAAGGAGGTTGAAGCAGTTGAAAAACCAGACTTCAGGAGAGGACATTATGGTGACCTTAGAAATTTTTTTAGTGAGTATAATTGGACAGACTTGATGCTAGGCAAGGAAGTGAATGAGATGTATGGCAAGTTTTGTGAAATATATGATAAAGGCACAAAAAAATTTATACCAAAACAGAGATGCAGAACTAGGAAACAGGATTGGTTCAATAGAAATTGCGAGAGGGCTAGAGACCGAAAGACACAAAAATGGAATCAATACAGGAAGAGGCCGAACCCCCAAACATACCAGCGATACAAAGATGCGAGAAACAACTACACGGCAGTGAGGAGAGAGGCAGAAAGAAATTTTGAAAAAGGGATTGCGGACAAATGTAAAACAGAACCAGGTCTATTCTATAAATTCATAAACAACAAATTGCAGGTAAAGGATAATATTCAGAGGTTGAAAATGGGAAATAGATTCACGGAAGATGAAAAGGAAATGTGTGAAACACTAAACGAAAAGTTCCAAAGTGTGTTTGTACAAAATGAAATCTTTAGGGAACCAGATACAATAAGAATTCCAGAGAACAACATAGAACACATAGAGGTGTCTAGAGACGAAGTGGAAAAAATGCTCAAGGAGCTCGGTAAGAACAAAGCAGCTGGCCCAGATGGCGTTTCACCATGGGTTCTGAGAGAATGTGCATCTGAGCTCAGCATTCCACTTCACCTGATCTTTCAGGCATCCCTGTGTACAGGAATCGTAGCAGACGGGTGGAAACAGGCTAACATAGTTCCAATCTACAAAAGTGGCAGCAGGGAAGACCCCCTCAATTATAGACCTGTATCATTGACAAGTGTAATAGTGAAAGTATTGGAAAAACTAATCAAAACTAAATGGGTAGAACACCTAGAGAGAAATGATATAATATCAGACAGACAGTATGGTTTTCGATCTGGAAGATCCTGTGTATCGAATTTACTCAGTTTCTATGATCGAGCCACAGAGATATTACAGGAAAGAGATGGTTGGGTTGACTGCATCTATCTGGACCTAAAAAAGGCTTTTGACAGAGTTCCACATAAGAGGTTGTTCTGGAAACTGGAAAATATTGGAGGGGTGACAGGTAAGCTTCTATCATGGATGAAAAATTTTCTGACTGATAGAAAAATGAGGGCAGTAATCAGAGGCAATGTATCGGAATGGAGAAATGTCACAAGTGGAGTACCACAGGGTTCAGTTCTTGCACCAGTGATGTTTATTGTGTACATAAATGATCTACCAGTTGGTATACAGAATTATATGAACATGTTTGCTGATGATGCTAAGATAATAGGAAGGATAAGAAATTTAGATGACTGTCATGCCCTTCAAGAAGACCTGGACAAAATAAGTATATGGAGCACCACTTGGCAAATGGAATTTAATGTTAATAAATGTCATGTTATGGAATGTGGAATAAGAGAACATAGACCCCACACAACCTATATATTATGTGAGAAATCTTTAAAGAATTCTGATAAAGAAAGAGATCTAGGAGTGGTTCTAGATAGAAAACTATCACCTGAGGACCACATAAAGAATATTGTGCAAGGAGCCTATGCTATGCTTTCTAACTTCAGAATTGCATTTAAATACATGGATGGCGATATACTAAAGAAATTGTTCATGACTTTTGTTAGGCCAAAGCTAGAATATGCAGCTGTTGTGTGGTGCCCATATCTTAAGAAGCACATCAACAAACTGGAAAAGGTGCAAAGACATGCTACTAAGTGGCTCCCAGAACTGAAGGGCAAGAGCTACGAGGAGAGGTTAGAAGCATTAAATATGCCAAAACTAGAAGACAGAAGAAAAAGAGGTGATATGATCACTACATACAAAATAGTAACAGGAATTGATAAAATCGACAGGGAAGACTTCCCGAGACCTGGAATTTCAAGAACAAGAGGTCATAGATTTAAACTAGCTAAACACAGATGCCGAAGAAATATAAGAAAATTCACCTTCGCAAATAGAGTGGTAGACGGTTGGAACAAGTTAAGTGAGAAGGTGGTGGAGGCCAAGACCGTCAGTAGTTTCAAAGCGTTATATGACAAAGAGTGCTGGGAAGACGGGACACCACGAGCGTAGCTCTCATCCTGTAACTACACTTAGGTAATTACACTTAGGTAATTACTATGACAAAATCACAGAAGCTCTAGAAGAAAAGCAAAATGCAGATGTTGTATTCACAGACTTTGCAAATGCTTTCGACAAATGTGACCATGGGGTGATAGCACACAAAATGAGGTCAATGGGAATAACTGGTAAAGTAAGATGCTGGATACTCAATTTCCTGTCGAACAGAACACAAAGAGTAACAGTCAATCAAATAAAATCGAGTCCAAGTGCAGTTAAAAGTTCTGTACCTCGAGGTACAGTCCTTGCACCACTACTGTTCCTTATTCTCATATCACATATAGACAAAAATACACGTCACAGCTTCTTGTCATCCTTTGCAGATGACACAAAAATCAGCATGAAAATTACCTCTGCTGAAGACATTGAAAAATTACAAGCAGATATCAACAAAGTTTTCGATTGGGCAGCAGAAAATAACATGATGTTTAACAGTGATAAATTTCAGGTACTCAGGTACGGTAAAAATGAGGATCTGAAACATAATACAGGGTACAAAACACAATCGAATCTGCCCATAGTAGGAAAACAGCATGTCAAGGATTTGGGAATAATGATGTCTGACAATCTAACGTTTAGGGAGCATATCCAAGCAAATATTGCGTCAGCCAGAAAAATGATAGGATGGATTACGAGAACTTTCAAATCCAGGGATCCCATCACATTGGTTGTACTCTTCAAGGCACTTGTGTTGTCCCGTCTCGAGTACTGTTCAGTACTCACTTCCCTCTTCAGAACAGGAGAGATTGCTGAAATAGAGGGAATACAGAAAACATATACGGCACGCATAGACGAGATAAAGCACCTAAATTATTGGGATCAACTCAAAGCTCTCCAAATGTACTCACTAAAAAGAAGATGAAAGAGATACAAAATAATATACTTGTGGAAAATACTGGAGGGACAGGTCCCAAATCTGCACAGTAAAATAACAACATATTGGAGTGAACGACATGGAAGAAAATGCAGAATAGAACCAGTGAAGAGCAGAGGTGCCATAGGCACAATCAGAGAACACTGTATAAACATCAGAGGTCCTCGGTTGTTCAACGTCCTACCATCGAACGTCAGAAATATTGTGGACCAACTGTGAAATATCGAAATTCAAATAAAGAAATATCGGAACAACTGTGGACATCTTCAAGAGAAAACTAGATTGTTTTCTTCAAGGAGTGCCGGACCAACCAGGCTGTGATAGGTATGTGGGCCTGCGGGCCGCTGCAAGCAACAGCCTGGTGGACCAAACTCACAAGTCAAGCCTGGCCTCGGACCGGGCTTGGGCAGTAGAAGAACTCCCAGAACCCCATCAAGCAGGTATCACCACCACCACCATCACTGACACCACAGCACCACTGACACCACCATCACTGACTCCACCACCACCACTGACTCCAACACTGACACCACCACCATCACTGACACCACCACCATCACTGACACCACCACCATCACTGACTCCACCACCACCACTGACTCCAACACTGACACCACCACCATCACTGACACCACCACCATCACTGACACCACCACCATCACTAACACCACCACCATCACTAACACCACCACCATCACTAACACCACCACCACCACCACTGACACCACCACCACCACTGACACCACCACCACCACTGACACCACCACTGACACCATTACCACCACTGACTCCACCCCCCAGCAACACCACCACCACTACTGACACCACCATCACCAGTGACACCACCACCACCACTGACACCACTGACAACACCACCACCACTACTGACACCACCATCACCAGTGACACCACCACCACCACTGACACCACTGACACCACCACCACCAGTGACACCGCCAGTGACACCATCATCAGTGACACCACCATCATCAGTGACACCACCACCACCACTGACACCACCAGTGACACCACCACCACCACCACTGACACCACCACCACCACTGACACCATCACCACCTGTGACACCACCACCACCAGTGACACCACCACCACTGACACCACCACCACCACTGACACCATCACCACCACTGACACCATCACCACCACTGACACCACCACTGACACTACCACCACTGACACCACCACTACTACCAGTGACACCACCACCACCAGTGACAGCATCACCACCACTGACACCACTACCACTGACACCACCACTACCACTGACACCACCACTACCACTGACACCACCACTACCACTGACACCACCACTACCACTGACACCACCACTACCACTGACACCACCACCACCACTGACACCACCACCACCAGTGACACTACCACCAGTGAAACCACCACCACCACTGACACCACTACTGACACCACCACCATCAGTGACAACACCATTACCACTGACACCACCACCACTGACACCAGTGACACTACCACCGGTATTGGGCTTTGATACCCAATTCTGGGTAATTTATATTAATGTTGTACATTACCGTACAGGATGGAGGGTGAGAGGGATATTGCTAAGGAGGCAGTGTTGGTCCACTCTGAGCCAGTACCCGAAGGAACTCCTACAGTCCAAGGTAGGTAATTCGTCATGATTAATGATTTTAAAGTGTATGGTTTTTTCAGTATTGTCTATTATATACTTGCTTTATGGATTTTCAAGTGGGGAGGCCCTTTGTTTCTCCTGGTAGTTGTCTCCCCACTACTGGATCACATCAGTTGTAGGAGTCCTGTTTGGCTTCTGGAGACCAGAGCCAGAATCTGGCTCACAGAGGTACCTCACAGAGATACAAGGAACAAGGGGATGACTCTCACTGGGAAGCATCCAGAAAGTCAGCAGTGCTTTTTAAACATCTTCAAGGGTCATAAGAAATGAAGTATTGAAACAGCCAAATGATTTTGCAAACAATTCATTTACAAATTTGGTTCACTTGAAACTAGCTGAATCTTGTCAGTATTGATGGTTGCTACTAGGTGGCCCAGAGCCACTGGCTAACAACCAGTGTTAGCCAGTGGCTAACAACCAAAGTTGGTCCTGTTGCTGATGTTGACTTGCTTAGCAGTGCTCCTTGGATTGCCAACTGGCAGTGGTTCCTACTGCTTCTCAACTAAATGCTGGCCATTGTTTGGCTTTCATCCTGTGGGGGCCATTTGCTTGTTGTAGCATTCTTCTCTTTTCAGTAATTGTTTCACATGTGTGTATTTCTTTCACTGCACTCTTGTGTGGACTTGGCAATTTTATGCTTCGAGCTGCATGTGCTCAGGGTTACTCTTCCCTGGGTGCTTATCTAACAAAGACTCTGCATTGACAGTTATTTTTCTGGTCTGTTTGGGTGTTTATAAGGGAGTTTCTGAGGGGAGCCTCTTCGGCTCCCTGGAGCTATCCAGGCTGATATGGCTACCTTGCCTTACCTTGAGGTTACCTTGAGGTGATTCTGGGGATTAGCGACCCCGCGGCCCGGTTGTCGACCAGGCCTCCTAGTTGCTGGACTGGTCAACCAGGCTGTTGGATGCAGCTGCTCCCAGCCTGATGTATGAGTCACAGCCTGGTTGATCAGGTATCCTTTGGAGGGGTTTGTCAAGTTCTCTCTTGAACACTGCGAGGGGTCGGCCAGTTATGCCCCTTATGTGTAGCGGAAGCATGTTGAACAGTCTCGAGCCTCTGATGTTGATAGAGTTCTCTCTCAGAGTACCTGTTGTACCTCTGCTCTTCAACGGGGGTATTCTGCACATCCTGCCATGCCTTCTGGTCTCATGTGCTGTTATTTCTGTGTGCAGGTTTGGGACCAGCCTCTCTACTATATTAGACTTTGGCATCAGTTAATGTGAATGAAATTTTAGGCCTACCAGGGACCACAAGCCAGAACCTGGCCACTTTAAAGAGGCACGAGGAGCGATGGCATACAGAAACCCTGTGAGGTTGGAAGCATTCTATGTCTGCCATCGACTGGGTCAGGCACCCCAGAAAGGTAAGCGTCCTATTCTGAATAAGAAATTGCTACTGAAAACCAAACTAGTGGACAGAACTCCCCAAATGAAAACAAATAAACGAGCATGATGTCACCACGTCACCGCGCCACTTGTCTGCGCAGCTGTCCCCTCCCTGGAAGGGGAAAAGGGGAAACCCCAGACCCTCATGCCAGCTATTCATACCTCAGTTCTTTGGCTGATGTGATTGGCAACAGTCGTGTGACTCTGGCTCCTGATTTTCTGTCCTCCTACAGCTCAGTACCTTGTGGTGTGGGGCTATTTCTCTGGTGGTGCAAGAGCCAAGAGTAATTTCACAAGTACTCGGGCTGCATGTGCCTAGGGTCACCTTCCCTAGGTGCCCTATAAGTACTGCCCTTGGGGCTTGAGGCCACCTTCCACAAGTCACCTTACCTTGAGGTTACCTTGAGGTGCTTCCGGGGCTTAGCGTCCCCACGGCCCGGTCGTCGACCAGGCCTCCTGGTTGCTGGACTTATCAACCTTGACCTTGGGATCTACCTCTGCTTGGTCTTTCGCTGCTCGGTGATTGACTGCCCTTAGTGTGCTGGTGTGTTTCATGCACCCTTGTTTGCCTATGGGTATGAGTAGTTTCCACTGGTAGGGGCACAAGGTACTGCACAGTTAGTTTTCACCTCTCATAGTAGCCGGCTTTGTTCCGCCTGGGTACGTTATCCTCTTGCAGTGTTTTTCTTTTATTTTTTGTTTCCTGCCTGGTGGGGGATTCTGCCTCTGGTTTTGGTTATCCCCTATTGTTCTATTGTTCTCTAGGTCCCCCTGTGAGTGGAGATGTCCCAGGGGGGGGGGGGGGGGTCAGCTTTTAGCAGTTTTCTTGGTAGACTTGATTTGGGCACAGGTTAGCAGTACCCTACCTGGGCTTCCCTTAGCGTGTTTCCTGCCTAAGGGTTCTGGGAAACCCTGCGGGAGCACTTGGGTCTGATGGATGTGTCCCTTGGGTCCCCTCTCGCCTTGTGCGAATTTGAAGGTTGCTCTGTCCCCCCGTCTCAGGGTGATATTCACCACTTCTGCCTCCGTCGTGCTGCTTGCTGGGTCAGTGACACCTTTGACCCAGAGTGCTGTGAGTTTTGTTGCTTGTTTGTGACTCAGTTCACCCAGTCCACTGATGACTCTGTTCGGGTGCAGGCAGCTCAGGCGTTGCATGCTAGGTTTAGGTTGCTGCAACGTGCTAGGTTGGTTGTTGACCCAGAAGCTCCGAGGCTGCTCCGTTTTGGTTATAGGGAATTGGACTTGGGGGTGTTGGTCGCTTCGACCTTGGTTCAGTCTGTGCCCTCTCTTCCTTCTCCTGCTGTGGTTCGTTCTGGTCCTCCCTCCCTTCTGCTTCTGGTTCCGAAGCATCTAAGGGTTTTGTTTGATTGGGACTCGGGCAGTCTCGGGGAATGCCCCTTTCGGAGTGGCGACTGAGGCTTTTGAGCCTGATCCTCCAACCGAAGCGTATGAGTCTGACCAGTGGGCCCCCTCCTGTCCTGCTTTTATGGCTACCCTGGCTTTTTCTTGTGTGGCCGTGGCTTTGGGGAACGGCTCGGTTCCGGGTCCTGCTCTGGAGGTTACCGGGGTGGGGGAAAGGCTGACTTGGGGGGGTCTTGGGCCCCATTGGACCCCACTGGGAATTTTTCTTCCCTCTGAGCACGGTTTACTGTTACAGGGGTGGAGTTTTCTTTTTCCTCTGCCTCGTGAGTTGGATTTGGTGTCAGCCCCTCCCTGGGTTCGGTTCCGTGTCCCTTCGGATCCGTCGGTCCTGTCCTTCCGGAGGCTTCTCGTTTCCCACCTCATGAGGTGCAGGAAGTCATTGCAGTGCAACCCAGATTCTGCCTCCATAATGAATCCTTCTTCGTTCAGGTTTGAATCTTCATTTCCTCACTGGGTTCGTTATGAGGTTCTGGAGTCGTCCTGGCTAGCGGACTGCCCTGTCTTGTCATTGGAGGCTTGGCATATGTTCTGTCGGTCCAGTATGCTGGAGCAGCATGAGGCTGGGAGAGTGGTCCAGGTTTGCCTGGGGGACAAATTTGAGCACTTCAGTGTGTGCTTGTTCGCCCCTACCCTTCCTCGGGATATTAGCAAGGTGCAGCTTCACGTGCAGGTTCCCTCCCTTTGAGCTGCACTGGTTGCTGAGGACTTGCGCACTCGTGGGCTGTTGGCGTCGGTCTTGCGGTTCTTTTCCCTCCTTGAGCTGTCCTCGGATTGGCTTACGGAGGATGTGAAGGTGCTTGGGGTTGTTCCTGGGTCTGGTGCTTGGTCTCAGCGGCATGTGCATCGTTTGCACTACTGAAGCTGTTCGCGCCGATCCTGTGGGATGCAATGATCTGATTATGCTTCTCGTCTCGCTTGTTGGAAGGCAGTGCTCGCTACCTCCAGGAAATCTTCCTGGGCCCTGGCTCTTAGGTTTTCCTCTCCTTTCGGTCCCTCGCTGTTTGAGGAATCTGCGGTTGTACGTATCACTCGTATGAACGTATCACTCAGCGTAATATGGAGAAAGAGCTTGGATACAGGGGAGATAGCAGCTGCACTTAAATCTACAGATATAGCTCCTCTGCACAAGGGGGGTAGTAAAGCCTTGGCAAAAAATTATAGACCAGTTGCACTAACATCCCACATAATAAAAGTGTTTGAAAGAGTGATTAGGAATCAAATTTCTAGTTTTATGGAAAATAATGAGCTACACAATCCAGGACAACATGGATTTAGAGCGGGCAGATCCTGTCTGTCACAGTTACTCAACCACTATGACAAAATCACAGAAGCTCTAGAAGAAAAGCAAAATGCAGATGTTGTATACACAGACTTTGCAAAGGTGTTTGACAAATGTGACCATGGGGTGATAGCACACAAAATGAGGTCAATGGGAATAACTGGTAAAGTAGGATGCTGGATACTCAATTTCTTGGCGAATGGAGCTCAAAGAGTAACAGTCAATCAAATAAAATCGAGTCCAAGTGCAGTTAAAAGCTCTGTACCTCAAGGTACAGTCCTTGCACCACTACTGTTCCTTATTCTCATATCACATACAGACAAAAATACACGTCACAGCTTCTTGTCATCCTTTGCAGATGACACAAAAATCAGCATGAAAATTACCTCTGCTGAAGACATTGAAAAATTACAAGCAGATATTAACAAAGTTTTCGTTTGGGCAGCAGAAAATAACATGATGTTTAACAGTGATAAATTTCAGGTATTCAGGTATGGCAAAAATGAGGATCTGAAACATAATACAGGGTACAAAACACAATCGAATCTGCCCATAGTAGGAAAACAGCATGTCAAGGATTTGGGAATAATGATGTCCGACAATCTAACGTTTAGGGAGCATATCCAAGCAACTATTGCGTCAGCCAGAAAAAATGATAGGATGGATTACGAGAACTTTCAAATCCAGGGATCCCATCACATTGGTTGTACTCTTCAAGTCACTTGTGTTGCCTCATCTCGAGTACTGCTCAGTACTCACGTCCACCTTCAGAGCAGGAGAGATTGCTGAAATAGAGGCAATACAGAGAACATACACGGCACACATAGACGAGATAAAACACCTGAATTATTGGGACTGTCTCAAAGCTCTCCAAATGTACTCTCT